TTGCTCTCTTGGGTTGGAGGCCATTGCTCTCTTGGGTTGGAGGCCATCCCTACTATATAAGTTACTTCGTCCTGGTGATGCGAGCTATGCAGGCGCAAGCTATGGCTTAGACGACTGGACTGGCATGCCCAAGACTTTTCCTTTGAGAGTCTCAGCATTCAGAAGATGGATAAGTCTAATAAGTGTCCAATTGTTCCCAGCAATTTTGCAGCAGTCTGGCCGGTTGCAACTTTCTCGCGTGATCAAAGATCAGATGTCAATATTTGCCAAGGCCAGTGGTGCGTGTCCGTGGTTCAGTGATGCGGCGTGCGGCAAATCAAAGCAATGCATTTGAGGAGACGATTGAAACGACTGGACGAGCCCTCGACACGAAGCCACCCGATTGAACCCCTTTTTCTTTAAGACGTTTTTTTAAAGCTCAGGGGAGTAGGCCGCAAGAAGAGAGGTAGCTGGGAGGATAGAGGTAGCTAGTAGCTACTAGTACGCTACTACCGACAGGACGCAGGATAGCTCACGATTCGTTGAAGAAGCGCTCGCACTAATGATTTGGTTCCTAGATTTTTAGAGAAACTTAACTTAACTTTAGGCGGTATTCGCTACATGCTACTAGTGGTCGCTTACTAAGTAGCTAGGACGCAGGATAGCCCCGCACTATTCATTGTTTCCTAGATTTTTTTTGGGAAACTTCACTTAAAGCATATTAATACATGCCTCTTGTCTGCAACACAGGAGGCACTCTCATCCCAGTCTCGTTTTCCAGAGGGAGGAGGCTCGAGACCCAGATTTTACATAGGATCGCGTGAGCATGGTCTGCTATGGTGTCCTCTCTTCGCAGTTATACCTGAAATGACATTTCGGGCGACTTTTCCTGGCTTGGTGCCCCCAAGAAATTGCAAGATGTATCAAGATGGATGCTCATCACTTTGGTTTCCATTCTTTTTTTTTGCTAGGGGAAGAGTGTAAGCATCCAGTCCCACGAGTGAGGTGCATCCTCGAGGCCTTCCAGGCAAGATGCCGTTTCACAGACTGCACCGGAGAAGATGACAGACGTTTCACAGTTCACAAAGAGGCCGTCACGGACGTCACCGGAAATACCACGAATTCTTCATCAAACTTGGAAGACGGACCAGGCCGTCACCGTAGACGACATGAACGGCTATGAACAAACAGTGCTACTAGGAGCAAGGACGCTACTAGGGGCTCCTGGCCTTACTACTAGTAACAAGAAGCTACTAGGAGCAAAGGGCATCGCTACTAGGAGCAAGGACGCTACTATGAACAAACAGTGCTGGCTTGTTTTGCGTCAAACCGGCATCAAAGTGTAATTTGCTCCTTGGGGAGTAGGTTCCTGCAAAGTTCCGCAACCATCTACAGTCTTGGCGCCGGCTTCATCCAGGTGCCGGTTTGCCTTGCGAAGAGTATCTGGAATCAATTCCGGAAAACAAACAGCGCATTTCTTTTCAAATTCTAATTCTAGTAGAAACAAGTGCATCGCTAGTAGTAACAAGTGCCTTACTAGTAGTTCTTCTAAGGTTTTCTTTGCGGATTCTGCTTCGCTTTAGCAAGCAAGCGCAAAGCGCAGGTTGGCGCTTCGAGTTCTGGGACGACCAAACGAGTGCGCCCGATGCGATCGGTTGGCACTTTATGGCGTCGAGAAACGGCTCGGCAGGTCGGAGACTTATGGCAGAGAAGTGCTATTCTCAGAGCAAAGCGGGGGGGGGGGGAAGCTACTAGGAACAAGTGCCACGCTTCTAGTAACAGGTGCCTTACTAGTAGTAACAAGAAACTATTAGTAACAATTAAGCTATTCTCAGAGCAAAGCGGCATGTTGCGTGCCCACTAGGATAGTCTCATGTCCGTGCCCAATAGACAATAGATGTCTACGACTTGCTCGACACCATTTTTGGTTGGCATAACTAGGCGTCTTAGCATGTCTCAACTAGGGCTTTGGCACTTGAAGTTGCTCTTCTTGGGTCAAGGTATCCAAAGCATCTGCGTCAATACGACAGAATGCTCGATTGCCCAGTTGAAACCCAACACATCGCACTTCATGTTTGTTAGGAGGCCTTGGGGTTGACTTACTACTTCTCGTTGCAGTTGCTGGTCTTCTTTGTCCCTCTCTACTCTTCACCTTCCCCTCACCAGTTCTTGCACTTTTTACCTTCGCCCCCTTCCTCTTTTCTTCCTTTCTTCCTTCACTTTGCTTTTTGTTTTCCTTTCCTTCTGCTTTTGCCCTTCCTTCCCCAGGTCTGGGATCAAACGTGCCGATGTTGCACGGCTGGTCGCTCTGTCCGTGTATGGTGGGGCCTGTGCCCCAGGCCCGAAGATGAAACTGTACATTGTGGGCACTCTTTGTTTAAGCTTTCTTATTGCAGCGACGACCTCCAACCTAACTTTAAAACTTTCCTATTGCCTCCAGCCCGACTCGCGATGGCCTCCCTAATGGCAATGACCTCCAGACTAGCCTCTTTTGTACCTTCAACAGACTAATCAATAGCCTCCAGGCATCATAGACTAATCAACATCCCGAGGTCTATGCCGACATTGATGCCCCGTGGCCGCACCGTCCACGAGTCCACCGTCCATACCTTGCGACGGGTGAGGTGGAAGCGACGCGGTCACTGGAGCCGTTGCTGCATGCAGCCGAAGCCACAAATGCAGCAGTGCTGCTAGGCGCGGTTGGAGGATGTGGGTAACAAGAAGCTACTAGGAACAAGTGCATCGCTTCTAGTAACAAGTGCCTTACTAGTAGTAACAATGTTTGCTATTAGAAACAAGAAGCTACTAGGAACAAATGCATCCACGAAAGCCGTGTGAAGAACTGCCAGGTGAGGAGAACCTCGTTCATTCCGTTCTTCTGGACTGCCGAAAACTGTAGTAACAGGTGCATCGCTAGTAGTAACAGGTGCCTTACTAGTAACAAGAAGCTATTATGAAATTAAAAGTAAATTAAAGTAAGTAATAGCTTCTTGTTACTAGTAAGGCACTTGTTCCTAGTAGCGTGGCACTTGTTACTACTAGTGTGGCACTTGTTACTACTAGTAAGGCACTTGTTCCTATGAACTCTCTTCATAGCTGAGAAGTCCAAAGTTCAAGATGGCATCGAGTTCGAGACTGGGCTTCAGACACGTAAGCCGGAGTGCCAGAAAGCATGCTGGTCAAACAATTTACTGGCTGGTCGCAGGTAATGAGTTGGCTAAGCCTGCCCCTATTTTCGCTCAGATCCTTATGATGACTAATACAGTAAGGAGCTTTGAGAAAAAACCCGACTGAATGTGTGGCTTTCTCGAAATCCTTGTCACGACTTGGTGCGTGCTTTCGAGCTTCTGGCATTGGGGCCAGGTGTGTTTTTGAGCACCATGCAATTTCCTCCTTCCGAACTTTTCGTGCGCAGCTTCTTGCTAAGGGGCCACTTCGTTGTCTTTCCCGGGTAATTTGCGGATTGAAGCTTCTAGGACGCTACTAGGGCTCCTGGCATCGCTACTAGAAGCAAGGACGCGACCAGGGGCTCCTGGCCTTACTACTAGTAGCAAGGACACTACTAGGGGCTCCTGGCCTTACTACTAGTAGCAAGGACGCTACTAG